GTCCATAATCTTGCTCAACATGATTCATATAATCACGACTGTTTCCTTACGAAGTTTCAGTACAAATTGTTAGATGTAACGACCACTTTTTCACTCACGAATAATCTGGATCATAGATGATCTCGATTTAAATAAAATGAATTTTTACTGCCAAGCTTTCTACCTACTTTTAAGGTTCTCAACAGGGCAAAACAATACTAAATATATCTACAAATTAACAAATTTTTAATAGATGGTTTTCAAATTGATTTAAGACCAACTCGGTCCCTACATTGCCAAGGACATTAATTCCTTGATCTGTTTATGAACTGAAAGCCCATAAATTTGAATAAAATGGCTTAAAATGACCATGACTGACACCTGACGAAGCTTCCGCGCAAAGTGTTTGAAGACGTTTTCACTCACGATAATCTGGATCTCGGTGTGGTCTGGATGGAAAAAAAATTAAATTGTTACTATCATGTTTTCAACCGATTTTAGGGTCAATAATCTTAAATATGGCGTCCAGCCCACCGAGGTAAGGTGACAAATTCATGGTCATTTTAAGTCATATTATCCAAATTTACGGACTTTCACTCCACAAACAGTTAAAGGATTAACGTCTTGGCAATGTGTAGACTGAGTTTGTCTTCAAAGCAATTTGAAAACCATCTAACAAAACATAATTATGTAAATTTTGTAAATATTAATAATGTTTTGCTCTGATGTGTTGTAACAATTGAATTAGTTTTTTCATCCAGACCTACCGAGACCCAAATAATCCGTGAGTGAAAATTTGGTCCTTACACATAATCACTTTGCACCGAAACTTCGTAAGGTAACTGTCATGGTCAGTTAATGTGCTTTATAACGTTAGGACTGTAAGTCAGCAATTTCAAAAACATCTATTACAAACTTAATTATGTCAATTTGTAGACCTAGTTATTATTGCTTTGCCCTGATGGTGACCTTAAAATAGGTCAAAAGCTTGGCAGTAATAATTGTATTTGTTTTCTCCATCATGACCATACCGAGATCCAGATTATTCGTATTTTAATAATAACTTCAACATAGTTTTCGGTTGTAGACGAAAAGAGAGACTTGCTGTATTTCCATGCGTTGTCTTCCGGTCACGAAAGTCGAGTGAAGGCATCTATCTTGAGAAACGAAACTATAACAGAAAGACAAGCGAGGGAATTCGAGGCCTTTCCGAAAAGACCTTTCCACGCTTCTAGTGAAGTGATAACAGACCGAGGGCTGCTCGTTTTCCCGTCTCTGGAGCACAACGAACTTTTAGGCTGGGATACGACGCTGCCGTACGAGACAGGCTATTTCCATCTCCTGGCAAGGGTATGTCGTAAAATTATTAATTTTATCATCCTTGAATAATCCACCGTTTTTCCTTTTTTAGGACGAAGAAGCCCTCCAATTTCCAACAGGGATGAAACTTGCAGGAGACCTGTTTCTTATGGTCACGACACGTCTCCAAAACCTCCTGGCAAACGGCATGGCCAACAAAGGAGAGATCAATTACAGAATACTCGTCGGCGATGCCCGCTACCTAGATAAATTTTTGTATAAAAAACGATAACAATATTTTTTTTAAAATAGGGACAATACACTTACTTGTTGGAAAACAGAGTAGTTTGAAAATAGGCCATACATCTAAATTCAGAAATAGATGTGTTAACGTCAAATAATTTTTTTTTGTTTACCTACATAATCCCTGATCGCTCAATCCTATCCGCGACCATCTTTTCCTTCAGTATTGCTTTGCGAGTCTTTCCCTAAACTACCTTCTCTTGAACTTTTTCTCTCATGATTTCTCTAAATCTTTCATATCGTTTAAAACAGTTCATTTTTATTTTACGAAGTTTTATGTGTTAAATGTTTTATTTTCATTTAATTTAAAATCGTAAGAGAGTTGGCAATAGTACGAAGTTCTCTGTAAGCTGTAAAGGATTTCGGGCCTGAAACTTACATGCTGCGTCTGAGTCTCTACCGCTGACGAACGAGGTGAGTGGCTTTTTGTAATTTTGGCAAGTCTTATTCCCAAATTTATTATTATTTGATTGCATTATTATTTCCCTTTATCATCATTTAGCAAACAAACATCATCAATAGTAAAAATCCTGTATGTTTGAAACAGGAAGACATGTTGTTAATTTAAATTAAAAACAAAATTGGACCAAAGTGAGATCCTTGGGGGACACCAGATGTTGCTCTAATGGCTGTGGAAAGTCTATCTCTAAATTTTATCTTAAGATTCCTATTGGAGAGATAGGATCTAATCCAAGCAAAAAAACTGCCGCCATATCCAAACTTCAATCTTAGCCAAAAGCAATCCATAGTCAACCCTATCGAAAGCATTAGCAATATCCCCTTAAACTGCATCAACTTGATTACCATTCTCACTAGAATTAAAAATGGATTCCTTTTACGTTAATAGGATAGTTATAGTAGAGCATCCATTCAAAAACCCGTGCTGCTCATCAATTAGAAATGGCTTACAGGAGTCTGGACTTGGTCTGTAATAATAGACTTCTATAGTAGGGGCGTCGGTGGCCGCAACGATTTAGGCGTTGACACGGCGCTCATCACTGTAAGGTAAAGGTCCTGGGTTCGAATCCAGCGGCCCTGCATTCGAACCCGACATACTTACAAATGGGCTTTTTTTCAAAAACACCGGCACCCCGAGGGTTGATATAATCTCTGCTGTTGCGAACCCTCGTAACATAAAAAAAAAAATAATAGACTTCTATAGGAGAGATAGGATCTAATCCAAGCCAAAAATCTGCCACCAAATCCAAACTTAAATATTACTCAAAAGCAATCGAAAGCTTTAGGAATATCCCCATAAACTGCATCTACTTGATTCATTTTCAATAGAATTAAAAATGAATTCCTTATATTCGTCATAGTTGTGCGTTCATTCAAAAACCCGTGTTGCTCATCAACTAGAAATGGCTTATTGAAATCCTTGAACTAGCCAGTAATAATAGACTTGAGAACCTATAGCATTGCATTTAAGTTACGTACAGGTCACCATAAAACATAGTTATGAATGTTGCTCCGATCAACTATCTTAAAACTGGAACAGTGTACACTTCTTTCCAACGGTACACCCTATGGCCAAGGATATTCTAAATAGAAGGGAGAGAGGTTTAGCTAGGGTTTAAGTGCAACTTTTTAATAGAATCAAGTCCACTTACAGACGGTTTTAGAGCGACGAGTTTATTTACAACTAATTAAGGTTTTTAGTTGAGATAAAAAAGTCAGTGTCACGAGCGGGATTCGAACCCACGATCTTCGGCTAGATGCGCGGCTGCTCTACCACTTATCTCAACTAAAAACCTTAATTAATTGAAAGATATTAATTGGTCAAGCGGACCACGAAAACTAGCAAATTTATTTACAACCGTAACCTCGTTCAGAAAAATTGTGCTTAGATAATAGGGTTGGAAGGGCTATTAACAAGCTCATTTCAAAGACTAGGTTGTATGATGATGGCGGGAGCATTTCCCACTAGAAATGCACTAGACTACCACTAGAAATGATAACCAATACTACACCTCTACACATAGAGGTCAAGGTTAGAACACTAACCAGCTGCTATAGATGAATTAGTGAAGGCAGCTGGAATCATAAGGGAAACAATATAGGACACTCGAAAATTCTACATTTACTGAGTAAGGTTAATAACCAACTAATAAGTGTTAGCGACAAAAAGGTTAAAACACCTTTGGGGAAAAAACACTTTAAGGTAGTTACTCCATGTGATTATAACTATAATGCGGATGATGACCATAATAGCATAGATTGCTTCACCGATGGCTCACTCATTAAGGACAAGGGAAGCGGTGCTGGTATACAGATACCCAAATTAGGAATCAGCATCTCCTGGGACTCTTGGTAATAAACCTCAGTCTTTCAGGATGAGGTCTGGGCCATCAATGTTTGCTGTAGAACACTCATGGATAATAATACTAAGGGAAAAGATATTAGAATTTTTAGTCAGGCCAGTCTTAAGTCATTACAAAAAGAGTTATCTATATTTAGGCTGGTAGAGGAAACCGTTGAACTTATCAATAGGATAACTACTAGGGACGAGAATAGGGTAACTCTCATATGGATACCTGCTCATAAGGGGCACTATGGTAATGAAGAGGCGGACAGCCTGGCCAAAGAAGGATCAAATACTGCGTTTGTCGGGCCACAACCGGTATTACCCCACTCTTTAAGCACAGCGAAAGAGAGTATAAGTAGCTGGGGCATGAAACAATTCCTTAAGGAATGGAATATGTCCCCCGGATGGTTACTCTCTAACTCTAGGAGGGGAATAAGGAGGCTGATAGGTATCCTAACGGGCCATTGCCCCTTGAGAAGACACCTCTTCATAATGGGTACTCTACCAGACCCCTTCTGCCGCTTCTGCGAAACAAAAGAAGAAACGGCTCGACACTACCTTGTAGAATGCAATAGGTATGCTAGGGAAAGATTTGAAACTTTCGAAGGAGAGGACATAACCAAACACTCCCCAAGATAAAATGGTCCAAAATCTTGGGGTTTGTGAATAGGTCCAAAAGGTTTTTGCAGCACTCGTGAGCCGACCAGGTCCCGGACCTTTTAGGGATGGGGTACGGGCCTACCTAGGCTTTTATCCCCTCGGGTCCTGGTAACCCGCCCTGCGTAATATATATATAGGGTTGGAAGGGACCACTCTAAAGTTCGAGAAATTTGAGTACGGTTTGAATACTTTAAAAAAAAACTTTTCAGATACCTGAGAATCTGTTACTACTATATCACCATCATTAATAGAAAAGGGGTACCCTTTAGTGTATCTTTTTTGGTTGATGAAAGGCCAGAAATCTGACATCGTATGAAATCTTTCCTTCATGCTTAATACATTTTTATTGTAATCCTTATCAACAACTTCCTTAACAAGAGCTCAGTGTGTGGCAAAGTTAGAATAGTCGGAGTCTAGACCAGATTTTTTAAATCGTTTATGTGTCTTGATTGGAACGTGTTTTCAATCAAATTCGATAGCGTATTAATAGCGTAATATTCAGGCAAACAGAGCCGATTTATGTACTAACATATTTTGTCGCATACTCCACCCGTTTGCTCTCATATCACAATAATTTGACTTAAATTTTGCAATTACGGTGAATTTATTTCCAGTTGTTTCTGTAATGTATGCTGATTTCATAAAACCTTCAACAGATGCATATCTAATTGTTAACGATTTACATCTAGTCGTATAATTAAGTTGGGATCACTCTTCAAACTGAGTAAAACCATTTTAATTACCCGACTAAAACGATGTCCAATTACGGATAAATGCCGAATGCTAAATAAGCAAATTCCCATGTTACGGCCAGTTGAGCAGGATGATCCCAAGTTCATTGCCAGTCGAATCCTTGAGCGGGCGATTCCAATCCTAAACCTTTTCCTCTATAATTGCGAGAATGGCTACCAGGTCCAATTGCTTACAAAGGTTTAGGGGATTTGCAAACGTTAAGCGTTAAAAAGTCGTGATGGATGTCATGTTTGAACATCACGACCCAATGTATATACTCCAATCGTGACACGATTTCCTAGGTGGCCCTAATTATGCCGAAAAAATCCTTGCATAATCTAAGATTGGGGATTCGAAACACGGCTGGTATTTGGTTTTAAATTGCGCAGGACTGAAACATTATTAGAATCTTGGAACTTATTGTTAGACTTTAAAGTCTTCTTTCAACTACTTTGTTCAGCATTTTTACCAATTTATTCACGTCGGAATGTAAGCTGTTTTCATGCTACATTTTGGGAGAAAGAGGTTATTGCCTGTGGTGTTTTCAATGTGTTTATTTAAACGCATGTTACTATGTGTTTTTTTTAATTTATCAGAGTAATTTTGTAATTCATTTTGCCGTTTTTTTTAAATATTTGGGTAAATAAATGGAGCCGAACCGGCCGAACGAACCAAGCTGTGATAAACCGATCTGAAAAACAAACTATAGAAATATGGGAACAAAAATAACACTGGCAGATAAATTACGTGCCTAAAGAGTGTTCCATGAAAAAAAAAATAGAAATGAAATTTACATGTAACTAATTAAGGTTTTTAGTTGAGATGAAAAAAAGCTAATGGCACGAGCGGGATTCGAACCCACGATCTTCGGCTAGATACGCCGCTGCTCTACCACTTCAGCTATCGTGACCTCGATCCACTCGGACATCAACTTCCTATCTCAACCCCACCTTATGAGTTTTCCCTCCTTTTTGCCATTTTTCAATCCTGCTAGTTCCATTAACTTTTTTTCATCTCAACTAAAAAACCTTAATTAATTGTAATGTATTAATTGGTCAAGCGGACCACGAAATTAGTGAACTTAACATAAAATTTAGAGATAGAGTTTCCACAACCATTAGAGCAACATCTGGTGCCCCCCAGGGATCTCACTTTGGTCCAATTTTGTTTTTAATTTAAATTAACGGTATGTTTTCCTGTTTGAAAGATTCAGAATTTTTTACTATTGGCAGATACTCATGTTGAACCAGCACACGGGCACTACTGGGTCTGTCTTCACTCGCGGGTTTTTTGTTTGAGTTATTCAAACGCGTTTCGGCATTGCGCCATCTTCAGTGAAAAACTGTCTGTCATTCAGTC